ACCTGGGTCCCCACACAAAGACAGGACCAGTTTGAAGGGCTCAGGCAGAGCTCCAGAACTTGGCAGAGGACACCCTACAGGAGAGGGAAGAAGCAGTAGTGCTTCCGGTCTGGTAAGAGGGTTGTTTGGCAAGCTGGCACCAACAGTCATAGCAACAACCACTGCTTTTTAGAGGATTCAGAATACATTGTAGTAGAGCTATTAAGATAATTTCCAAAGGCTCAGTAGGGACTGGGGTGATGCTTGTTACCAAACTAGGGCTGAAATGTTTCCTTGTGACATCTTATATTCCTTTTAATTGTTTTCAGTGCTGACATATTACTTGTCTTCTCTCTGAGTCTCAGGCTCTTCTCTGTCTTCTGAGGTCAATTAGAAGGGTGTTGTGGTTTAACCCCAGCTGGCAACTAAGCATCACACGGTTGCTCACTGTCACGCTGGCCCACTGCCCCCTCTGGTGGGATGGGGGAGAGAATCAGAAGAGTAAAAGAAAACTCATGGGTTGAGATAAAGACAGTTTAATAGGTAAAGCAAAAGCAGCGCACGCAAGCAAAGCAAGGAATTAATTCACCGCTTCCCACCAGCAGGCAGATGTTCAGCCATCCCCAGGAAAGCAGGGCTCCATCATGAGTAACAGTCACATGGGAAGACAAATTCCACTGCTCTAAATGTGCCCCCCCCCCCATTCCTCCTTCCCCCAGCTTTATAATGCTGAGCATGATGTTGTATGTTATGGACTATCCCCTCGGTCAGTTTGGGTCAGTTGTCCCAGCTGTGTCCTCTCCCAGCTTCTTGTGTACCCCCAGCCTACTCACTGGTGTGGTGGGGACGTAAAAGCCCTTGTCTCTGTGTAAGCACTGCTCAGCAGTAACGAAAACATTCCTGTGTTATCAACACTGTTTTCAGCACAAACCCAAAACACAACCCCATGCTAGCTACTATGAAGAAAATTAACTCTATCCCAGCCAAAAACAGCACAAAGGGATAGTTCTGAAGATTTCTTTCGCAGAGATCAATGCAAGGAAAAAAACCCCAACCCCTCACTGTGTTGCTGAGCCCACTAGAAATCAGATCTTCTTACTTACAAGTCAGGATGCTGTTGGACTTCTATCAGAAATAGCATGGCCAGCAGGGAGTAGGGAAGTGATTGTCCCCCTGTACTCGGCACTGGTGAGGTTGTACCTTGAGTACTGTGTTTAGTTTTGGGCCTCTCACAAGAAGGACATTGAGGTGCTAGGGCGTGTCCAAAGAAGAACAATGAAGCTGGTGAAGGGTCTCGAGCACAAGTCTTACGAGGAGCAGCTGAGGGAACTGGGGTTGTTTAGTCTGGAGAAAAGGAGGTTGAGGAGAGACCTTATCGCTCTCTACAACTACCTGAAAGGAGGTTGTAGCCAGGTGAGTGTTGGTCTCTTCTCCCAAGTAAGAAGCAATAGGACAAGAGGAAATGGCCTTCAGTTGTACCAGAGGAGATTTAGACTGGATGTTAGGAAAAATTTCTTTACCAAATTATTGGAACGGGCTGCCCATGGAAGTGGTTGAGTCACCATCTCTGGAGGTATTTAAAAGATGCATAGATGGTTGGGACATGGTTTAGTGGTGGAGTTGGCAGTGCTAGGTTAACAGTTGGACTTGATCTTAAGGGTCTTTTCCAACCAAAATGATTCTATGATTCCTGCAGCACCGAAGGACCCCCTGTATGCTGGTCTAGGAAGAAAAAAATCTGGGTCCTTCATCAGTGTCTATACCTAAGCCGATGATAGCAGAGCTATGTGACTGGTCTCATACAGCTCCCATGATGTAGTTACAGTAATATCCTTGATTCTGGTGGAAGATGCAGCTCAGTTAGCTATGCAATATCCTTTTGATTATGAATTAACATCTTTAAAAACTAGGCCATGTTGAGAAGAATTTGAATATCAAAAGAACAGTCAGATTAGAGGGATCTCATAAATGCTTTGATATTTGACCATATCAGCTCCTACTGGAACTGCACCTCTTGTGAGCAAGACCAGTTGAGCTGATCAGATGGCTGGCAAAAACCTGCTGTCAGCTCACATTCACACTAGCAGTGGATGCTAAATACTGGGCAACTTTTAAACATTTGGAGTATTTGTGCATACCTATACTTAAGATCTTTTGTAGTTATACACCAAGATCATCAAAACTGAGGGTAAACGTGCAAGAGAAAGGATCTAGACAGCCCTTAACTTTGGTTTCTTGCAACTATTGTAAGCATGTACCTTGATACAAGAATAGGGGATTTAGGGGCTTTACTCTGTTTTGAAACTAAGATGAACAACTCACACATCAGGTGAAGGTGTTTCCTTCTAAAGAACTGGAGTTTCTAGAGTAAAGATTACAGCTTTCCCTGTACTACTGAGTAAACCACTCTCTTGCAAAATAGAGCTTACTTTTATACTGCATTAACAATAATTAATTAACATCACTACTTAATGCAAGCTAAATTAAGGAAGAAAATTACAATACCTGAGAAGGAAGAGGCAGCTTTTATAAATTCTGGTGGTAAAACTTTCAGTCTCCAATATATGGCATTCCTCTCTTCGGC